TGCTCAACTCACACCGTGTTGTATACTTCGGATTTATTGTAGGAGCCTACTACTCTCAACCGAAGACATTTCTACAACCGGAACACAGCAGCTACAGCAGACGCAGTCCAAACAATTAACGTACCCGTGGATTATATAAATAATTTGTAGCAGAGGACTTAGACTTTATATCCAAGTAATCCTTTTTGTTGCTATAACTCGTCACTGCATTTTTGGTAATATATTGTGATTTAACACTACATTGACTTGGATTATTATTTTTATATTTGTAATGTTAGTGAACTCTAATATTAGTCCCCTACAAGCGAACCAATACAGCAGGAACCGATTGTGAAACAAATAGGCAGGAAGAAATGGAGATGGATTGGTTATACGCTGAGGAAACCATCAAGTGAGTGACCACTAGACAAGCCATTGCTCGAGTGGGACCCAAAAGGAAAGAGGCGAGTTAGTCGTCATTACAAGTGTGACTTGGAGGAGGTCATGTGAGGAGGAGATGAAAGCATGTGGGCAGACTTGGAGCGGGGTGAAAAGGTTTGAAGAAAACAGAAGGCAGTGGAGGTGGGCAGCTGAAGCCCTATGTTCCTCCAGGAATTAAAGGATATAATAATAATAATAATAATAATAATAATAATAATTAGAATACCATACGTGTGAGTTAAACGACACCCTGTGAGTTTTAAATCATTGTAGACACTGTCGTCAATCACTTTCTTCCCTAGAATCTAATTAGTGGATGGTAACAAGCAGTGGAATCCAGGATTCACATTTCATCCTATTTGAGACTCGTCAATGGAAGTACGTGCATTTAGCAGTTTGAACCCATTGCCCATGGTTTCAAATGCCAAAGTGTGACCAACTAGGCCACTTGGACCACGAGAGACGCTGCCTATTGTGCAAAGTGCCATATTAATTATTCAACTGAATTTCACATTTTTCCGTCGTTGAGTGGAACCAAGTGCTCTGTCAAGTCATTTGACACAGTTTCCATCTTTGCATTGTAGTCCTCTTTGCCCATCAGCAACATCCCTGAACCCTTGTCAGGTAACAATATGAAGATTTAGTCATTATTTTTGAGATCTCCTAGTGCTCTTTTACGCTCCTCACAGGGCATTTTGGAATTTAACGTTGGTGAAATGAGGTACTGACTTACAACGTCGACCAGCTTAGGTTTGAAACAGCTCTTCTTTTCCTCATCAATGCGCATAAAGTCATTCAGCTGAGCAGTGTTCACTATGTTCGGAACCTCCTGTCTACTGATGTCATGTAAGTTAACATATCTCAAGTATGTTAAAACTTTTCTGTATATCAACTTAATAACTTAATTAGGCTGTAAGCAGCTGACTTGATGGGAAGTCAACGAAATAAGCAATGATGGTATCATCTTCTTATTCTGCACAAGTCTCCATTGCTGTTCACGCTTTATTCAAACTTCTCCTACTTGTAATTTGTGGTGACAGTGTTCCGACTGACTTGTCATTTTAGTTATTGACATTATTACTGATATTTTATACTTTTTGTACATTTCTGACTTTATTGTCATTGCTAATGCTGCTAAGGTTGCTATTATCAATTTCGCTTACCTACAATACCTTGAAATATATCTTTGGTTTATATTATTGTCAACTTAATTCGATGCTACAGATGCTCTGAATTCCACACTGTACCACACGTACTACTGTTTTCGAATAAAGCAAATCATTATTAATATTATGATTTCATCAGAATAGATAGACAAACACAATCCAGTCATTCATGTATACCATCGACAGTCTGAACTGAAAAGCATAGACGAAAGTGATCAATACTGCAGAATAGTAACATACTTCTCTTGTTATTCAGTCAAAGTTTTCGCTAATGAGGAAGAGATTAGCGTTTGAAAAGAACCCTCACAAAAGAATAATAAAATTCTCACTCTTACACGCGTCAAGGATTCTGGTGGCATATTAACGAACTAACAGGATTCTACTCTTCAAATGACAATGTTGCTGAGTGATACAATGAGATTTCAGCTAGGCGAGTTAGTTAGTGGAAGTTAGTGTGAAGTGGAATGTTGAGGATATTTTTGGTGAGAGATAACTTCAAGTGTTAGTATGTGTGAATTTGATTGGTTTCAAGATTGGTTTCATCCTGAACTGACATCGGTTGGTTGGAGGAATATTGACAAATCAGGTAGTAGTACTGCGAGACAGCTGTTTTGTCAGGCTAGTTTGTGAGTGTCCAGCAGTATGCATCCACCACAGGATGCTTGCGTGTAGGACCTTCTGGTTACAAGGTGATTAGGCTTGTGGACCATTCACCCGGTGGGACCTGATCCTGAAAGCAATCGAATCGCTGGAAACCAACACTTGAATACACATGTGATACTGACTACTGACTGGCCTTATTCAGACAGGTAGATTTTTGGTTATTTTTTAAGGGTTCTAGTGGGAAGTGGTTACTAGTTGAGTAACAGGAGATCGGGTTTGAGGAAAACTATTTTCAACCGTTGATAATGACTTATACCAGTCGCGTGATATCATGGATTTGTGGGAGTTGGAATCCACGTGTTGGCTGGTTACTTGATTGGATAGGAAGGCATTTGGTTGACGGTGTACAAGGTCACTCACTTTTTAACCAGAAGTTTCTGGGTTGGATACCGGTCACAAATCCAGCATTGAAGGAAACTTCTCCATCATCATCTATCGGTTAACAAACAAATTAACAAAAATGATGTCGAATAGTTATCCACTGATATAATTATGATTAATAATGATTTGATGTTATTTAAATAACAACAATTTTGTTAATAACACTAATTCATTCATCATTACTATGGATGTAAACATATAACTGTAAAACTTGATAATGAAGAGCATGTTATCGAAAATGTGAATATTCTTTGTTCAGTAATCTGTTTCTTGAAAACAATAAATTACTGTTTTGCAAAAAAACATGAATTTGTTTTCAATCAATAGGCGCTATACAGAAAATTCACCTGAAGTTCTATTGAGAAGTCACTCGTGACAAGCATGGTATATCACGCCATATATGGAAACATTTACTCGCTTTTTACATTGGCTTGCGATCCCACCATATCATATCGTGAATCGGTAGAAGTTGACATTCATGAGACGACCATTAGATGAGCTGCCGGTTGTTCAATGGTCTACCAGCCCACCTTGTATTCAGAAGGTCCTATGCTTTAAACCTCAGTGAGTGCATAGTGATGAAGAGTCCGTCCGAAACTGGGGCGAAATAGCTGTCCAGTAATCCCAGCTGGTTTTCAATAATAATAATAATAATAATCACTTTATTATTCCAAACAATAATAATAATAGTAATTAAACAGAATGGAATTTTTCGCGTTTTTGTTGACACTTATTGCATCAAATTACCTCCTTTTGTAAATATGTACATATACAAAATTTAAAATAGTAGTGGTATCATTATTATTATTAATCAAATAACTATAAACAGAATGTTGATGGAAATATAAATGAAGCATAGGTAGATAATATCATAGATAATTTGTGTAATAATAATCTTCGCTTATACTTTGCAGTTCAGTTACTGATTTGAAAAGTAGATTTATAAGTTCTTTTCTGACATCTGACTCTGTCTGTACACAAAACCATGTGCTAAATATGGTGGTGGTATGGTAGAATTTTTATATTCAACAGCTTTACTAGCGTATATTCTTATGAGGTTTCTTCTAGTCTAATGCGAAGATATACAAGGAGATACAGGTTGAGAATAAAGAGGATTTTCAGTATCGGACAAGAAAACTTAAGCCAGCTGCCTGCAAGAATTGAATTGAAGTGCCTATTGACAATTATGTCAATTAGTTGAGTCAAAGGCACACCACTAATCTTACTCATAGCCTTCAGTGTTCTACACATCAGGATATAGAATTTCCGGGGAAGCCTAGTGAGGGATCAACTGGAACAATAAACAAGAATTAGCAGAATATGTGAATTAATAAATTGTAGGAGAAGAGGTTGAGTTATACCAACAGAAAGTCTCAACTTATCTAAATATTGATGAGGGAAACGAGAAATTCTCTTGAAAATTCGGTAAGATATGAGACGACAAACAGAGATTCGAACAGAAACTCCCTAACACAATGCTGTCAATATTACAGGAATCATGTGACTTAATCAATCTACTCAGGCAAGTCTTGTTCGCATCTAAAACTGAAATCAACAATATACAGTTTAAGACCATATAAGTGAGACCATTTGTTAACCTCAGATAAGAATTTATTCATATAAGAAGAATACATTTCAGGAAAAACAACTGGGATAGAAATGGTTAGATCATCGGCATGAAGAAGAATATTGGAAAGGTCATGCAAAGAGAAAAAGAAAAAGAACGGAGAGAGTACAGCCAGCGCCTTGAGACACACCAGTCTCCGTTAGCAATGAAGTGAAGCTCTTTCCATTGAAAACAGTAGGCTGTTTCTACCCAAAAAGAAAAGTAGGAAGACAGCCAGCCACCTTGTGACACAGCTGAACTCAATGGGTGCTGAAATCAGCTTGCTTAGTTAAAGCACCCTAGGAATAGAGTCATCAAAAGCAGCAATGTATAGTCTACAGAAGGAGGCTCGAACAAACTTTGCATCCTTATCAGGACTTGAAACAATATTGTGGTGGAGTACAACGACGCCTACAACCCTTCTCAGGTTGACGCCGTTGGTTGGAAAATCGTCGCGCAGTTTATTTGGCGACCTCCTTCTATCATCTATATACGCAACTTTGAACGGTGACCCGCCCATGACATTGCATTGTGGAATGTATATGATCAACACACATACGACGTATCCGACCAACCAAGCGTAGGCACAGAGTAATTTACACCAAAGATAATAACATCAAAATAGTAACTTGAAAATTGAAAGGCCTTTATTCGTGCAAGCCAGTTTAACTATTACCCTCTCATACACAGTTGGCTTAATCATCACTAAACTGACCGTTGACTGTCGTCCTTTCAAACGGACCGACACTAGCATAGTCATAGCATAAAACACGTGAGTTCATGAACATCCCTTTCATTGTGGATGACAACACCAACGACGACTGACTGATACAAGTTGATGAACTCAGCAGTGCATCAGCAGCTGTTGTTTTTCGACCTTTAGAAGGTTGTCTAACTCTAGGATTACCACCACTGCTATCTTTTATGATTAGCTGCACTTTAGCACAAGCATCTCTTGATTGGGGCGGAAGGATTTGGCGTCGTACGATAATGCAGCAAGAATCTATCCAAAATTTCTTCTGTTGTTCCCTCCCCCTTCGCTTTTGCATAAGCACGCTTAAAGGTGTCGACGAAACGTTCAGCCTGTCCATTCGATTGGGGATGATACGGGGGGCTACGAATATGCTGGATGCCAAACAGTTTGCAGAAATCTGAGAACAGTGATGAGGTGAACTGCGATCCATTATCGGACACCAGAACATCAGGCATACCAAAACGACAGAATAGTTGACGTAGGTGGGACACTGTTGCAATTGATGTGGCAGAATGCATAGGAAATATCTCTGGCCATTTGGAAAACGCGTCGACACATATTAAGAAATGCATACTATTGAACGGTCCAGCGAAGTCAACATGAACACGGGACCATGGTTTGTCCGGTCGTGGCCAGGAACATAGTTCTGTCTTGCGTGGGCACTTTGATGCTTGAGCACATTTACTACATTTGCGAACGAGGTCTTCGATATGGTCATCGATGTTGGGCCAGTAAACATAACTGCGAGCGATCGCCTTCATTCTCCCAACACCAGGATGTGATGTATGAAGCTGACGAAGCACATGGTTACGAAGATTAGCTGGAACCACAACACGATCAGCAAACATTATGCATTCATTAACGATGGATAAGGATTGGCGTCGCTGGTAAAACTGTTTTAAAACATTTGAATGAACATGTGGAGGCCAGCCAAATCGGATGAACTTTGATACTTGCTGTAAAACTGGATCACGCAATGTGTGGCTGGCAACCTCAACTGCAGTCACCGGAAGAAGTTGAGTCGCGCCTACCAGAACTCTGTTTACATCATCTTCAACAGAGATGGATGCAATAACAACATCCTCGCTTTCCAACTTCTGATGGCTTAGCAGCCGTGATAATGCATCTACCTGGCCAAATTCAGAGGTAGGTTTGTATTTGATATCAAAATTATATCCCAGTAACATGACAGCCCACCTTTGAAGCCGATTCGCAGTGTACACTGGAATGCCCTTTTTCGAACCAAATATCGATAACAGGGGTTTATGGTCAGTAAATAGAGTGAATTTCCTACCATGAAGCATTTTGTGAAACTTTTTGACTGCGAAGATAAGCGCCAAACCTTCTTTCTCAATTTGGCTATATTTGCGTTCGGTTGTATTCAGTGTTCTAGATGCATGTGCAATAGCTTTCTCCCTTCCGTCAGGAAAACGATGAGATATAACAGCACCAATACCATAGTCGGATGCATCTGCAGCAAGGATGATTTCAAGACTTGGATCATAATAAGTAAGCAGCATGTCTGACTGGAGTAACGATTTTACTTTTTTAAATGCATTTTGACATTCAGGTGACCAATTCCATTTTGCATTTTTCGATAACAGGCGATTCAGTGGAGCACGTATGCGATGAAGCTCTGGTAGAAATGCACTGTAATAGCTGATGAGGCCAAGGAAAGATCGCAGAGTGGCAACATTAGTGGGAGCGGGCATATTCTGAATAGCACGTACATTTTCTGGGTCTGGTCGACGTCCATGTTGATCAAAAATGAACCCAAGATACTTTACTGAATCCATGAAAAATGTACATTTATCCTCTTTAAGGTAGAACCCAAACTCTGACATTTTGGATAGCACAGCGTCAAGTCGATCAAACAATTCAGACTTACTACTCCCTGTGATTATCACATCGTCGAGGTAGACAGCAACACCAGGTTGGTTAGCAAGCATAGTATCCATGATCTGCTGAAAAATTGCGGGTGCTGGTTTCACACCAAATGGTAAGCGAGTAAACTGGTAGAGACCCCTATGAGTGTTGATTGTTAGCAACTCTCGAGACTTTGGTTCAACTTCTATTTGAAGGTAAGCATCAGCAAGGTCAATTTTTGCAAAACATTTACCACCATTAAGTTTGACGAATAAGTCTTCTTGAATTGGTAATGGATAAGCATGATCCTCTAGAGCATCATTTAACCCAGTTGAGAAATCTGCACACAGGCGAATGGAACCATTTGCTTTGCGTACAACAACTATAGGGGCAGCCCAGGGCGAATACGTTACTGGTTTGATGACACCCAATGCTTCCAGTCTGTCGAGTTCATTCTCAACCAATGTGACAGCAGCATACGGAACTGGACGTTTTGGACGAAAAACTGGCTTCGCGTTTGGCTTTAGAGACAAAACAACTTGGGTAAATTTGCAGCAACCAAGTTTGTCCTGGAAGACAGAAGCGTGCTTTTGACGCAGGCGTTGCAAGAGAGATTGATCAGATACATGTCCGGGAACAACGTTATGTGGTGAGGACGAAACATTAGAGCATACTGAATTTAATGGTACATTGAAGATATGGAGCTTGTCTAACCAGTCAAGACCAAGCAAATTCAAATCATGGTAGTTTGTGACGTAACATACACCATTGAAGTGATGCTCACCAAACTGAACCTGGCAATTTATCTCACCCACGAGTTTCAGTATATCTCCAGAGGCATTCTTAGCGACATGCTCGGTCGGCAGAATCTGTGGGCACCCAAGTTTGCGCCACGTAGTTCGGGAAATTAAGGTGATATCTGATGCCGTATCCAACTGAAGACGAATATGTTTGCCGTTAATACCTAGTGTAATGTACTTACGTTTGCTGGCGAAATCGACTTTGGAAGTTGTGAAAATGGTCTGTACTCGAGGAGATTGTTTCGGCTTGAAACGACTACTTCTGTTCCTCACCGAAGAATTTTTCTGCGGTGGACAGTAACCCTCTTTATGTCCAAAACGGTGACAATTACGGCATTTATGTTTCTTGAAAGGACAGAGCTTGACAAAATGCCACGAACCACAGTGCCAGCACACTGAAGGAGGTTTAGCTGAATTCTGAGACTGACGTGCTGTGTGCTTAACGGTGATCGGAGGACTTTTCACTGTGTTAATTGAACCAAATTCAGACGACTGTCGTTTGCACTCCACCATAGCAGTATCGTGCTTCAAGTTGATTAAGCGTTGGCATTCTGCTGTCACCATTTGTAAAGTCATTTTCGGGTCTTGTTCCACGAGTGACAGAAGTCGAGTTCGTATGTCAGTATCTTCTGGGTTCTTCAACCCACAAATAAAAATCAAACACTTGAACTGATCTGATGTCATTTCGTGTGGTTTGAACCTTTCGCATTCCTTGTTCACTTTGCCAGCGTAAGTGACATAATCATCGGAAGGCATTTTTGTCAACTGAAAACATTGATACCGAATATTAAACATGGATGACTGTTCACCAAAGATTTGTGATAAAACGGTGACTGTCTCATCGAATGATAACTCACGTGGGTTCTTAGGCAGAATGAAGTTAACATATCTGTTGTGCTCAACAGTACCAAGTTTTCTTAGTAACAATCGGACTTTGGCAGCATCATCAAACATGTAGCATTCAATACGGAAAACGTCTTCGTAACGATTGAACCATGCATCAAATACGAGACCAGATATTGGGTCGTAGTTGAACTCACTGATGGAATTTGAGATGCTTTCATATTTGTCTGAATGAGATGTTGATGGAACTTGAATGGACAGCTTCTGAGTGAGAGCTTCGATTAATTTTAGTTGAGCTGCTTCATTCTGAACTTGCTGCTGCTGCAAGATAGATTTGAGATCGTCCAGAGAGATAGACATTGTAATTGGGTTGTAATTAACACAGTCAAAAATGTTCAATAGCTAAGCTGAATGGAATAAAACCCGTCGTCCCTCGTTTGTTGTAACTGCAATAAATTAAGGTAAACTCCGTCACCAATTTGTCATAACTGTAGGAAATTAAATGAGGACGTTGCCGCCTTGTTCTGTCTGCGCCTGACTAATATGCCTATCTGCTTGTGGTACCTTCCGATTCAGTGAACCACGCGAATATCAAAAGACAAAGGCTGGCCTGTGACTGTATACTGTAGTACAACAACTACGACAAAGAAGTTATTTAGGAAAACAACACATGGTATTTATACATTTTTACAACAATACAGATGGCTAACAACATTTGGAATAATTGATCGTAATAATCAATAACAAAGAGCGTGGGAAATGATGATATACCATTTAAGAGAGATTAACAGACGTTGAAATAATTGATCAATAACAAGTGCGTGGGATCCTATCAGACTGCCTCACCGTTAAGTGTCGACCTAAACATTTGTCAAAATATAACTACATTTACATCTCGAACATTTAGATTGCTCCTGGATGCAATTCCACAGAACTGTCTTTATTTTCGGATGAATTTACCTCCCTTGCTGCCACCTCCTTCGGAAATTCCTTGTCTATAGTTACTGGAGACTTTAATTCTAGTGATCACAGCTTCCTAATTTCACTTGGACACGATAACATTGTCAACTTCCCGACTAGAATGGATAACACTCTTGATCTTGTGTTCACAAATGATACAGGAATATTTGAAGCTCGAAAAAGATCCCAACTACTCAATTCTGATCACTGTATCATAAGAATATTGCCCAGATGCTATTCTCATGACAACATACTGAATCTAAGGACTATGTTAAAAGACACAAACTGGGACTTATTTACTGATCAAGCTCTTGATAACACAATTACCAACATAACACATTATCTTAATTTCTGTCTTGATGTTTGTTGTCCAAAAGAGACAATCTTCTTGAAATTCGACCGCTTCTCCTCTTTTCAACTCAAAAAGCTCCGCCGTGAAAAAGAGAGCTTGTTCAAAATGAAAAATAAATCTGGTGTTAAGAGAATGAACACTTTGATTAAAGCTGAATTACAAAGATTCAATGCTCTATATAACCAGAAGTTTCTTTCGTGTAAATCCCCATCTAATATTTGGAAGTTATTAAAGGAAATCACAGGTGGTAAGCAAATAATGAATGATGTTTCAGTAGATGTTGACTTACTCAATAAATCCTTCATATGTATCCCTGCAGATGTTATGACTCCTAACTCAAATAGCATAAATAATGACTGCTTCTCATGCTTTAATACGAATGATGTCCTCAAGTGTCTTCAATCTCTCAAACCTACTCAGTCCCTTGGTCCTGATGGTGTTCCAGCTGTTATCCTTAAGAAGTGTGCCGACATCTTGTGTTCCCCATTAACTGACATTTTCAACGAATCGTTTTCCAAAAGTATTATACCGAACTCATGGAAAAATATCAAGATTGTTCCAGTACCTAAATCAACAAGTGGACCTACTGTTAAGTTTAGACCCATTGCTATTACCTCACCTTTTTTGAAAGTTATGGAAAGACTTATTTTACTTAATCTTGAACCCTCTTTAAGGCCTTTCAATGACCCCAACCAGTTTGGCTATAAACATAGTAGGTGTACCTTAGATAACGCTGTTGTCCTACACCATAGCACAGTCTCTAGTTTACATAAAGGAGCTAAATACGTTCGGTGTGCCTTCCTTCCTTGATTACACATCTGCATTTGACTCTGTTCCTAGGTCTTTCTTGCTAAGTAAGCTTCCTGCAACACAGGCTGAGAGCTGGACAAATAAGTGGCTGCATTCCTATCTTTCTGATAGGAAGCAGTACACCGTCTGCAATGGAAAGTCCCCCACTACCTCACTTACTTTAGCTGGTGTTCCTCAAGGTACTGACTGTTCTTCCTCCTTTTCTGTTTTCGTTTTCCTTACATGACTTGCCTCATTCTAATGTAGCCACTTTTGTGAAGTATGCTGATGACCTCTCTCTTTCTATGCCTGTCAACTCTCAGTCAGATTGTTCCAAATTAAATAACTTTCTTTCAGAAATCAGTCAGCGGTCCTCTTCAAACGGTCTTAAGCTAAATCCGTTCATATGTCAGGTTGTCAATTTCACTTTCAGACGTAAACGTGACCTACAACAACTTGTTAGCTCACACGGCCCCACCATCGTTGACGACATAGAGGTTGAAAATACATCTAATGTCAAGCACCTTGGCCTGAGTTTTTGCACCGATCTTTCCTGGTCCTCCCACATCTTCCTAGTTACTAGAAAGATGTTTCGCTTAACGCTCTACGTTAGGAAATTTAGGCAGTCTGGCATAAAGTAGTCTTTGCTTTCTCAGTTTGTTAATCCTTGTATTCTACCCATCCCTCTTTACTGCTCCTCATTAATCTTTCCTGCACTACTTAAGAAAGACTTTGCTTTTCTGAGAAGGGCAGGCACTAAAAGCCGTCAGTAGGGCAAGTGGGATATCGTTAAACCAACTGGTTAACACTATTGTGGATAGACATACAATGTCATGTAAGAAACTAGCGAATACTATATTGTCAGACCCCGAGGATCCTCTCTATGCTCAGCTCTCTCCTTGCATTTCATCTGGTAGAACAAGAAGCAGCTATAGGAGGCTGGCTGGCTATATGCTAGGACTACCAAGTACAAAAACTCCACAATACTATATCTGGAACAACTGTTGTGATCAGAAATCCGTTAGGCATGACACGATCAACTTATTGCGGCACTCTAACAAATAGTCCCATTAGTTTTTGATTTCCTTTCCTCGTTACTATTACACTGTTGTTCTCATCTTCTATTACACACCAATTTTATATTTCATATCCTATGGTGCATTGTTCAAAATGGAAACGCAACGCCTTTCTTCCTTATTTCTTTTCATTCATCTATTTTTTGTTCTTTTTATCTAAAAATCTTACAAAATTCATGCGGTAATTAGGTGCAATATTGTAATGCACGCTGAAAATCCTATACCTATACCACAAATACTGTTTGGAATAAAGCCGTTGTTATTATTATTATTATTATCATAAGATACGTATATGGCAGCTGGCTATTACTCATTATCACTGCTTAGATTTATTCTATTGATAGAGGGAAGGGAGCTTATTTGATACTACTTAGGTACAGGTACTTTGTGATTTTATAATACAATGTTTAAGAAAATACGAACAATTCGGCTTAAGAAAGTGTAGGCTTACACAGTTCAACATTGAGAAAAGTCTGATTTTGGTTGTCTAGACACGTTGGAACTATTACAAGTTATCACATAGAATTTTTTTCCTTAAAAAACATGCACTATGAGGGAACCATTGTGTTTGAATTTCATTTGGCTTAAGGGTGACACTTTACTTCACTCATTTAACTTTGAATCAGGTGAGGCATGCAGAGCATAGTCTTATTAACGGAGGTATGTCTAATGTGACGGTAATTAACGTCAGTTTGAAAAATTTACATCTGCTTTTCTTACTTGAATTCATCAGAAGCTTAGTTACAGATTCAGGCAACTTTAATTGATTCTAACTCTTTAGTTTGGAGATGGAGGAGCTGAAGCTTATGTTCATTCTTCCATACGAGATAACTGTGCTTATATAATCCTTTTAAAACTAAGCTGCTGCTACTACATGAGTCAAATTTGACATCTGATAGCTAGGAAGTCTTTTATCATGGTATCACAACTGTTCCGATTTACCAGGAGAATGAAATACGAATCGAATTGGGGTTCATCTTTTACTTTACCAGCAAGTCTGTATATCGCCTACAAAATGGTAAGATCAACACACTCAAGTTTACATTTGCTATACTCTAATCATAAAAATGGTCATCCTTAGAAAACCTTTCTTCAAAATTTCACACCCTGAAGCAAACCACAGATGTATGTAAAATGATTACCACCCACTCAATTTTCTTAACATAAAGCCTGTGTCCTCACCAAACGGCAATAAAACCGAGTCTGAGTCGGATAACAGCGTGTTGAGGTTACACTGTAGCTCACGGTGATCACTCAATTACCAATCGTCTGAACTATAACAAAGGGGGTTCCTCCGTATGCATATCCTGTGTGCAAGAAGACGTATTTAGCTACAAGGTATGGTTAAGTGTGCGTTTCATATTTGGGACGACTGAAAATCTCTCCTGCTTTATCTTTTCCACTGTGTTCGGGCTAAATACTGCTGGTGAACTTAGTGATTCCGAACGTCCTGCACTCATTAGAATATGTAACGTACTCGTCAGCATAATTAACCTTCTAATGTACTAACAATAAACAGTATATCTAACAACATTTACCAGTCACTACCATAAATATTTCGAAATTTTAAATTACAGGTATTCTATGGAGGTATCCACAGGGAGTAAAATAACCGCAGAAGAATCGGCAACTTAAAGAATCAAAGATATATTTATAGTACAGTCAAAAATGATTTCAAAATGTTAATACTAGTAAAAATTAAGTGATCGTAACTTTCGAAATAGTACATGTGAAGAATCTGAAGAGACTGTGTATGTCAAAAACTACAGTATCTTAAAGTTTTGGAAATAAAAAATAGGTTACCTAACCAGAGAAACTGCCTCAAGACTGTCAGCTCATTTAAATTAAATCATATAGGACAAATGATGCTTTCCGAATATCTTCTTTCTTTACAATACCTAGTAAATTTATGACAAAGTCCAATAAACCAATCTTATGAATTTGTTCATTCAATATGAAGCATGCAAGCAAAATAGAAAAACCTAGAACAAAATCCATGTGGATAGATGACTCGGGGAATATGTGACATTTCTTAAGTTTAACAATCAGATGACGGTATTTGCCGTAAACAAAATAAACAAGCTCATCCTTCATTGGAAACGTAACATCCTTGTCATATTGTTTGCATAAAGCAACAATGAGCTCAACACATCCTTCCAGAGTTTGATGCGTGAGTGAGTTTTGTAAAACATTTAAAGCACACATTTCAGAATGCAGTATAACCGATTCGTCAAATTCGTATCCCAAACATGATAGTATGCATTTGACACACACCGTTCCTAATCTTGAATATCGGTGAATCAATTTTGTGACCAACTGCAGTACAGTAAGAAGAGCTAACATAACACTCCGTTTTGATTCCAAATATGGTTAATCAAATGTTGCTAACCTTTCTTCAATTGCTGCACTTTGAAGATGCAAAATGATAAACCGGTCAAATATTTCAATAGCATTGTAAATGACTTCTTTAGGATATTCCAACGCAGTGCATAGTATCACGACGTAATCGCATAATTCTGGACTGTAAAAAACCCCACGATATAAGTGATGCAATTCGTTATCATTAGAGAAGTGTCTGGTATAGAATTTCAGATATTTTCTCACTTCCTCAATATTCACTAGATCCATTAAGGAAGGCAAAACAATCACATGCCATGGGCCAGGATATAGGCTATAACCTGCTATATTTTCCGCGCCTCAGGTTTTTCGTCTTTCATTGGCTAAAACAGTGGCGGTCAATTGGACATTTGATTTGTCCTTGGTAGGTGCTATCGTGTGAGGTTTTGTGTGGTTGTGTTATGCGTCATTTGCAAGCAACTTTGACAAACATAGATGTAACATTTGACTATTCTAACATTGTTTTGCTGTTTTTTATACAGATACACTGCTCTTTTCGTTATAAACTCCCTCGAAACTGGTCAGGCATTATGGTGGCTATCAGTAACTGCCATCCCGTGGGTCCCAATGCATTTCTTCAGTTGTGGTAATACGTTCAGTATTTCCTACTTCAATATTTCTCACTCACGTAGTCTGGTATCCTGTGTTTCTTGCGAATTAATTGTGACAAGCTGTGGCAATAATGTGCTTCGTCAACGAGCCTTTTTACCAGAATTTCATCGCAGGTAATCAGTGCGAGCGGAAGCAGCACATAAGTTAGAAGCTGAGAACGCATTAGAAGACTTTCAAAAGGCGTGGGCCTTATATACTGCTAACAGTGGAGGACTTTTCCACACATCAGTATGTGGATACGTTCACGTGCGGAGGGAAAATCCACGAGTGAGACATTGTATAGTAGTGAGACAGCTTTGTGGAGCTTTCATCTGGCCTGTATGTTTCGCTCTAGTACTTTTCTCCCTCAGACCACTAACAAAGTATCATCAAATGTATTCTTGTAGTATGATTCGATGGCGCAATTACTGGTAGTTAATAATATTATGTATGCGTAATGTTCATGATATTTTCTGCACCATTAACGTGCTCCACATTTCAAAAGGAATGTAAATTAGAAGGACCGAACTTAACTTAAACTTAAGTCATATATGATCATGCATGTTAATTACGTAAATGCTTGATTTATGTGAGTGAACTTAATCTGTATCACTTTCAGGAATGATGGGTCGCAATGAGGTCTGTCAGTTAATTAAATTCAGTGGAAGCAGATGTAGCCGCATTCGGACGAAGACATCCGAAAATCAGACGGACGCCGACAGATGCCAGAAGCACAGTATAAGAGCCTGCACACTGCCCTATTGTCCAACGACCATCCAGTCACTACGCTAACATTTAGACATCGTCATGATTTCAAGGGTAATCTGAGCACTTCCCAAGTTTTGTCAAACACTCGACGAAAATATTGGGTGGTAAAGGGAGGTGCCACAGTCCGGAAGATAATTGATAATTGCGTTAACTGTAAACGTCGGAATTCTGGTACTGTTCAGCACATAGTAGCCACACTGACAAATTAACAAGTTTCTGAGGGTAATTACCCATTTGAGTATGTCGTAGTGGATTCGTTTGCACCTTTCATGGTGAGGAGAGGTAGAAGTTCGTGAAATAGGTAAGGTTGCTTGGAAGTGAGGACTGCACACATCGAAACGACACATACGCTGACTGCCGATGCGTTTGTTCTGGCGTCGCTGAGGTTCATAAACCGTCAAGGTACACCAGAGATGATCTTCAGTGATAGAGGAACTGACTTCATCGGCTGTCACAAAGAGCTCCTAAGGCGTACGAGAGTTCATGAAGTACAATTAAAGAGGAACATAGAGTGGCACTTCAATCCACCTCAAGCCAGTCACAGAGGTGGGCTGTGGAGGGGGTTTATTGAATTTGTGAAGGGTGTTTAAGTTCCATCATTAGAAATTAAACCTTGACCGATGAGACTCTAGAGACATTTTTATGTAAAGCAGAGCGATTTCTGAACGACCGACAGCTTTCACCAGCAAAGGATGATGTGAAGGATTTTGGCTTGTTAACTTCAAGTAGTCTACTATCCTTGTGAAGTAATCCCGGTATAGGAAAAGGGTGCACAGAGCCGAGACCTATGATCCTACATAGATAGGAATAAATATATTATCAAAAGATGGAGACAAGCCAAGCATCTGAACAATATGTTTTTGAAGGAATGATTTAAGGGGTATATACAAACACTGCAGCTAAGAGGCAAATCGAGGAAAGCATGTGGAGACTTTCAAGTCGGTGATGTAATCATAGTGGCGGATAAGAAATCTGCAGTTAAATGGCCTCTAGGAGTAATGGAAAGGGTAATATGCAGTAATGATGGGTAGGTGAGCACAGTGGAGTTGAGCACAGAGTATGACGCATTTGTGGGAAATATTCTAGGATTATTCTTGCTTGAAGTGTTAGAGGACAGATCAGAGGATGGACACTGACGATTTTCCAACTCATGTCGTTAACCCTAGAAGGGTTGTAGGGGTGCCGCTGTAAATTAAACATTTCTTCAAGCGTAGCACGTTAAGGTAGAATCCACGACATCTGATGTATTGATTGTACATATGTTTGTGTTGAGCAATAGAGTGGGTTCCAGTTCATCTAATTGTTGCTTACTTTTATAGTTGTCGCATACCCTGAATCATTTTGTAATGCTACTGTAAGTACTACTGAAGTCCTTTGTAATCTTCTACAATAGTGGACGAATCGAGTGGTGTTGGATCCAATGTATGCAATTTTATAAGCCAAGGAGAGGTGTCAGCCAACTCTCAGAAACTGTCAATGTCCAGCTCTTACTACGCTGGACCTCACACTGTCCCTAGAAGACTTTCAGAAACAATTTGTAATAACCAACGCGAAAAACCAGAACACAGATTGGCGATTCGAGAGTCCTTCATTCTTACGCCAATATGTAACCAGCAATAAGGTTATTACACACAAGGTCTAAGAATAAATGTTACAACAGTACATCACGATAATACCTCTGATAGTTTTCTATCTTCCTCTGAACAGCGAACGATGAGACAATGACTGCCGTATTGATGACTCCCACGAAAAATATGGAGGAGTTGGGTTTGAGCAAACAACCATGAATTGATCGTTCAATCTTCAACTACATTGACGAGGGTGTTGTACTAGAATAAGATGAAATGTCAAACACCTCGATGACCAGATTAATTGTAGCATTTTCGACAGAGATCGAACCAAATTTCCGTTTAGCGAGGGTGGTCCTGCACTGCAGGCAGAAATAATTTGTGCGAGCATGATATATGCTCTCCGTATGTTGGGCTTTTTTGCTTTGTTTCGCATTTCAGCCTAGTCCCAGTTGGTCCAGGTTTCGCGTTAGCAGTCCACTTCAAGGTTATCGGCGTGATGAAAGAAAGAGATGGACCCATTTTTTCCGGGGAGTGTCAGTGGCTATTAACATTGAACCCTTGTCTACTGGCTTTGGCCGCCATTGACAGGCAATTTGAATTCACTGTTGATTCTACCGTGTACAAGTTATAAGAAGACGAAAGAATACAGTTAAAAGTACTATACATTCCCTGGCAAAAGCATTTGTTCATAGACTTAGTACAGAATAATTATCCTAACAACTGGAGAATAAAATTTATTGTTATCTATTATGTTTTGGAATTCAAGTCGACATCTGTACTCAGCAATTGTCGATTCAGATCGTCTTCAAAAATAATAAGATCTTGGGATCAAGTTCCTTAATAATAATTTATGTTTCGCGTAAAGTGGTGTTTGAGACGAGTTTATCGTCGGTGCAACTGAAATCTCACACTATGGTTACAGCCCAGATCAGATTGAGTGGAACATATTTTGGATTACTGTATAAGTTGAAACTGGTGAAGCACTGGCAGACGCCACTGATTGCTGCTGTTCAACAGACGATGACTAGTAGTCAGTTGAAGCAGGTAACTAGAAGTCGAGATCAGAACTGTTTAGCGGATAATCTTCTAGAAGAGGAGTGAGAAGGGCATTTCAATCCACCCGGAGCTATTGATGATGCCTGATGTCTAAATAGACAGAAACCATGTAATTTCACCATAAATCAAATTTATGTAATTTAAATAATACTTATCCATGCCTATCAAACTGATGTGTCCTACATAGATAGGGATGAATATATTATTATTAATACATCTCTTGGTTATGTCCCAGTACCAGGATTTGAGCAGTGCACATTATAACGTTAAAGACTTTGTCTTAATTTAAACGCAAGTGAATTGATTTCAGCGCCATTTTGCGCCATTCTGTTGGGCTGCCTATACGCACATTCCTCGAATTTGTAATGAAGCCATATTTGTTAGACAAGTTGTAAATCCTTCTTTTCGATAATCTTCACCTTTTATTTTACCCAGATATATGGAGCATTTGGGCGCTTTTCCCCTAATAACTAAGTTGTTTCATCTTATCGTCAGTACTTATGGGTTAGTTGGGGTACTGAAATATTGAGTGCATAGGTAAATTGGGTTAAACAACGACTGGTAAAGTGTAGCTCATCAACAGCACCATCAATACTTCACAGAGTTCTCCAGCAATTTTGGTGTTCTCGTTGGCCAGCTGACTCACAATGGAGTAGTCAATGAGCGTGAGTTGACGCTCAAAGTACTTGTTTATTCAAACAAGTCTCCTGTTCGTTGAAGACAACAGTCCCTGTCGTAGACTAGACGTTCGCCTGAAGACAGGAGCAATGTGGTCATTAGTATTGTTGTATATTATGCCGACTATTTGTGGACTATTTTATTGTATCGACTGCAACCGGCTGTCAATCATATGGTCAAGTTGCTGTGTAACCAACTTGCTATACTGGCCTATGCTCGGTCGACCAATGAGCCTTCGACCTACTGTCTGCCTTTTAACACCGCCTGCGGTGAAATCGTGCTGGTTATCATTTACGTTACTGATAGGGTAGATGAGCTCAAAACCGTGGAGAAAAGTCATGAGCAGCAAGTCCACCACGTCGGGTTGTCATGCCGGTTATGTTAGCGCCATATGTCCCAAAATGGCATATGTTGAAATCGATTTCCATCTTAGTGGTATAACAACCTGAAGGTCATGCGTTTGACCCTCGAAGGAAGAGTGATGGTGGAGTGTTGCCGAATAATTGCGAAATGGGATGCGGCAGCTATCCAGTATCCCTTGATTTCCTTAGGTTCCCTGATTGGTGTCAATCCGTGAGTTAACTTGGAGCTTCGAATTTTACATACTTTCCCAACGTAAGTGAAATATGTTTAATTTATCATTAGCTGAAGATAAAAAGTCCTAAATGG